ACGGCCTTGCCCAACACAAGTTATAAATTCGGGCACCGCCGGGAATCGAACCCGAGACCCCCAGGATTACAAGGCCAGCGTTCTAACCGCTAGACCACCGTGGCTTGTTGGTGGTTTATGAACCGTGGGGGAGGGGGGACTGAAGCTGACATTTTTGGCATTAAAAACAATTGAATACAATCTGCGTGTTTGACATTTTATGCCAAATATTTTTAGTTTATATCAGACAATTTTAAACAGGTTTTTGCTTAAAGCAAGTGGAAATATTACCACGTCCGTTTAATGCAGTTTCTGTTTTAGAGAGGTTGCACTGCATACATTTTAATTTTATTTCGTCTCTGTGAGGCGGATGCAATTATCCCCCCCCCCCCCCGATACTTGACACCGCGTGACCCCGTTACAGATCAGAAAACACAGTCGTTGGTCTTCCACACGGGGATGTTGGGCCACGCCCATCCGATGAGTTGCTTCGTGATCTTATCCCAGTCGTAACTAATGGAATTAGCCGGACGTGGGCTCAGGATTTCCGTGTACATTACGTAAATGAAGAGGTTCTCTTGTTCGTGTGATTTACTAATGCAACTTAATTCTACTTTATTTTTAGCAAAAACTTATCTTATCGACAGTCATTTGTTCTGTTGCTGTGTGATGTAACTTTCAAATACAGAACTTTCGAACTGATTTGATGGGAAATCTAGCTAATTATATCTATATCAAATCTAAAAGTTCTTGACGATGGTGAAGAGTCAATTGAATAAAAATTTTCTTGGATATTATCCATCGTCTATTAAATATAAAACGTAAAAACGACGTTTCGGAGATAGGACTCTATCTCCGTCTTCAGATTGTAATAAAAGATTTCTTGGATATTATCCATCGTCTAGTAAATAAAATATAAAACGTAAAACGACGTTTCGGAGATGGGACTCTATCTCCGTCTTCAGATTGTAATAAAAGATTTCTTGGATATTATCCATCGTCTAGTAAATAAAATATAAAACGTAAAACGACGTTTCGGAGATGGGACTCTATCTCCGTCTTCAGATTGTAATAAAAGATTTCTTGGATATTATCCATCGTCTAGTAAATAAAATATAAAACGTAAAACGACGTTTCGGAGATGGGACTCTATCTCCGTCTTCAGGTTCCTACACAGTTGGGCCCACTAGATAGAGCTAATCCCTATCTCCGGTCCGGAGATAGGGATAGAGTCCCATCTCCAAAACGTCGTTTTACGTTTTAATAATTTATTTACTAGACGATGGATAATATCAAAGAAATTTTTTATTCAATTAATTATATCTAACTGAACAAACTCTTATTGAAGCACAGCCCTCTATAAAAGTTAATAGTCGCTCATTTAATCAACAAATACAACTATTTTATTTAACCCGAATTTTAATTACCGTGTTCATAAGTACATGCTACCGGTCCGTGTTTTTAGCCTGATAAATTCAATCAATTCCTTATCGTATTTTTGTTAATTATCCATTTTTTATATTATCGTACCATGTACGCCCAGGTCATCTGCGTGTTGAATGACGCATCCATCTTATCATATCAGATCATTTCATCATTTCTATGTGGCGAGTCTGAATCCAGTTTGAACCATTTGACTAAATGTATTAATTTCCCTGATGCCACTGATGATGACCTCTTGAGGTCGAAACGCGTATGGCAATAGTGTCTTTTTTATAGTGTTAATAATTGTTGGTTTGCTTAATCTATATGGATTTAATTTTATCAAAATTTTGTATGATCTGAAGCTTTCACGGCGACTAAGTATACAATGAATTCTTCTCGGGCTACCAGCCGTGTCAGGTGGTTGAAAGGTGAAAACACCAAAGTTTCGAGAACCTTCTTCGTCCTCGTCCTCAGGGTACTGAAGACTTAAATGTTATAATCACCATTTCAATAGCTGATCGCCACACTGCATACTTCTTCCGTCCATGGACACGTATCAACCATAGGGGTGAACTGATCTTCATAACATTTTAAAGTACGAATATTTCCTTCTAAAGATGGCTGTCTTCACATGTCCTTGATGTAGCCGTGAAAACCTCAGATCCTAAAACCTTTCCTTCTGCTATGCAATGCCGTAAGGTTAAAATGCAACTTATCGTTATATGTGTATGAATCAATTATTGTTACTAGATCACAGGCTAATTAATGTAACATATCAATTCAAGACGGCAGAGGAAAGAAATTCTGAAACCTCGTGTACATTGAATATACCTCAAGCATTGTCCAAAGGAATATCGCTTTTTCTGTCACACGTTATCACGAGAGCTTACAGAATCTGGCTAAACATGAACCTAACCTAACATAACCTAACATAACCTAACGTAACCTAACATAACCTAACGTAACCTAACATAATCTAACGTAACCTAACCACACCTCAATTTAACTAACTTATTTTACCTCACTACTAATATACTTCGCCATCATTATCCTGTCACTATCTCATCATTATCCCACTATTATTCCTGCACCAACTTGTCTTAAATACTGAGCTACATTTGATGATAGTTTGTGCTGTGTTGGCAGAGTGCCAAGATCTAGAAAGAAAAGATTTACGAGCTGGATGATTTTTTCAAAAATGTGTCGGCAGTAGTCTATAAATAATAACTGATAGAGGACAGTGAATCAATTTATAAGTTACGAATTTCAAATTGTTATCATTGATACGTAAAACTCCGCTACGGCAACTTCTCTTCGAAGGACGTATCACAATCGCCTGCTTCTGTCTGAATCCGCAAATAAAAGTAGTTCGTTGTCTTTCTCTTTTCAGGAAGGAGAATGAGATACACGCGTAGCCAGTAGAGGAGCGTCACTAAGCCTTTCAAAATGCCACGGGTGAGTTTACAGAAACATTTTTCCCATTTTTAAAACGTCTAAAAGACTCTCAAACCATGACAGGGGTGGGACAACACAGAACAGTGTTGACGTACATCTGTGTCGAATGGGGTTCGAACCGAGAATCACTGCTGTCAAGACCCACGTTTTAGACCGCGTGGCCTTCCCCTGCAATCGGTTTCCTTTATTTGATTTCATAACTGAGTAGTGTAAACGTCTTTGAAAGCCGAGTACAAATGCCATTTCTCGTGTTTAAATATTTGCTCGTCTTTGTAGTGGTTACAACACAAATTCTTTGATCTCCACATATACTCTGACGTGGTGTTTACGACGTCGGGAAATTTAAGTCTTGTTCGTTTTACAAAGTAAAATCTAAAATTCGAAAAGGGTCACGAACGGACATTCTGGACAGAGATATTTTCAATTCTGAAAGTATTTATCGAACATCTCAACGTGTCTGTGAACTAGAATATTTACGAGATGACCTACTTAAAGTTAGTTCTGTGCTTGTAAACTTTTATCATTCATGGAACGGAGTTTAAAATAGATAAAAGCCTGCAGCTGTTAACGCGGTATCATTACTAATCATCAAATCATAGGAATGGGTTGTAATTTAATTATGACGTAATCAGATATCCCTCAGTGGACTCGTTTTCAAGATGGATGCATTGTACACTAACACATTTGTACTGGTAAATACAATTGAAATTATATATTTGTTTACTGCGTCATAAAACATTGTCTTTATAAGATGGTAAAGTTGCGTCATATTGTGTTATAATAAGTATATATTAAATCTTGTCCGTCTAATCACAATAATTCTTATTAAATATTAAAATATTACAATAATTAACATTTAAAATATTTAAAATATTAAATGATGTTCTT